TTTCTGACACCAATTGTCCCTATACTCGATAATTACTAAACTCGAGCCCTGCACTACGAAAAAAAAAGAAAGTCCAAGCTCTACTACAAAAATTTGCGTGTTCAATGTACGCGCACCTCCCCAGCGGGGTGGCAAAAGAAAAAAAACAACAAAAAAATTCAAACACACACACCCGCACAAACTAATAAATACCTGGTGACTGGTCCCGAAAAAGCCGTACCATAAAAAAAGTGCTACGAAGATTTCAACCGCTGCCTTATAATTATAGAGACAAGCTCAAAACATGCAACAACACTTATCTGCGCAGTCGATCCGGAGCGCTCAAAAAACACGTCCATCCACCTTGACAGCCTGAACTGAACTGAACTGGCGCATTCCGACTCCCAAGCGCCCCCACCGGCAGCCAGGGGCAGCCGCGAGTGGTTATTAACTACTTGTTTACCAAATGTAACCTATCTCCAAAGGCTTCGATAAACATACGGAAAGTAAAGCTCCCGAACGACGCTCAGCACGCACGGACGCAGTCTGCGTGGACATTCGACATGATATGCTAGAATTACCATGAATAACTCATACAGTCATCTTTGCTCATTTTATTTTGTCAGAGCACAGAGTTTTATCCCAGATGGAGGCAAACCACGAAAACTTCAAACAGAAACAAGAGAAAAAGTCACGGCCTTGCCAGAAAGGCGAAACAATGTACGCGATAGCAACAATTTAAAAGGTCACGCGCAGAATAGAAAGCAGATCAAAACGTGCCCCGCATTTCTCGCGTACAAATACGCAAGAAACGCACTCACAGGTATGGATGCACGCGAATAAGCGTCTCATTTGTTACTTCGCTGAGGCTGAAAAGCGTGCGCTTTTCGCGAACGGAGACTGCAAAGACCTTTGTGCACCCGGTGACTACCGAGGAATCATTTCATGTAAAGACCGAGGCCAGCCAAGGCGTAGGATCTTCCCCTACTCGCCACCACGAGATAAGGGCGCGCGAAGGAGCGTCGCTCCACTTCTCTAAGCCAGGCAAAGTACACGTAGGAGATTCGAGCGGGTGCCACGGCGCAATGTGGTGATATGCGCTCATTGCGCCATCTTTCTGGTAATGCCGATAAACACACCAGATGTGTGGTAGATATAAATAGCTTGCCCTTTGAACGGTCAGGAACGTGCTCCGGGGTGGCTCAGTGGTTAACGGCTCTCCTTCCCGGCGCAGAGGTCCCACGTTCCATTCCGCGCACCAGCCGGATTGCTTTTTCTCTGGATTTTTTTTCTTTCGTGCGTTTTCATATATATATATATACCTATACATATACGGTGCGTGACATCGATGCCAACGCCGGTGGCAAAATCCAGCTGAGAGCGTCCATATAATTGCAATCGCGATAAAAGATCACACGCCGTCCTATAGCCTAGAGCCTCTCAGCTTGCCGGCGAGGCGAGTCTAACTTAATTGAGTACGCGTAGGTGCTGAAGGAATCCTACTATATGTGCACCTGAAAACACCGGTTTGAAAACATAAAAAAAAACTTCTTTGCTAACGGCACCGTGTTGTTCTGCGTGAAGAACATCCTTTCAGTTTCCACGCGCGGACGTGCTCCCACGCTAAATATCAATGCAAATGCTACGAGGATTTACACGACAGCTTGTGTCGAAACCATATTGCGTGCTATCTGCAGTACAGACACAATCTACTATCAGCTAAAAATCTCAAACAGACATTTTCAAGAAAACGATCGTAAAATTCACAAAGAAACATTCGCAAGCAAACACCATCAAATTCATAAGCATGATGCTTGATTGCATGGCTCATATTACGGGAGCGTGTTCAACGACGCGCGTAACAGGCTCAACTTAATAGACTGTGTTTCTTGGGCATCCGCGACAGCCCCAGGGACGCAGGCTATATACTATTGAGAATGGCGTGCAGCCTACTTCTGAAAAGCTGCTTCAGACGTCAAACTAAGAACAATGGCCCCGTATCTGCATGTTACACTGCAAACGTCGTCGAAAGACGATAGTCTTGCTTCAAGAGAGAGTGAACAAAACGTTTATTTCATGTTCTACGCAAGACAATTGGTGAATGGTATTCCGCAGGCGCTGCGTTAGAGTGCCTCGAGCGTGCAGCGGAGGCGGACGAGCGCATCAAGTCACGTTACACATGAGACATGAGCGCTATCTGGCAGTTATCTTGCAGAACAAGCGCGTGGCGTGCGCACTTGTTTTGGAACATATAAGGTGTAGAACGCAAAGCGACGGGTAGGTGCCACTACCTTGTCGTCTTAGCGAAGCGTTGGTAACACTTGCCTGTTCGTGAATGCATTGCATGGGCAACGCAGCATGATAAACGCTGCGGTCCTGAGAATTACTTATGTGTGCCTTTTCTTGTAAAAGAAATACAAACAGAATATTGATGTGTTGTTATGGTGCCTCAGATACACGAAATAATTGTTTTCTAATCGGCAATCGCACAAGTATGAACGGTGAATGTTGAGCAATATTGGTGGGTGCTGCGGATTGGGCTGGCCGTTAAGGTATAACGTCTGGTGCTGTTTGAGGTACCGTTGTGGGCGGACAAACAGGAAAATATACAGACAGACAGACAGACAGACAGACAGGCAGACAGGCAGGCAGGCAGGCAGGCAGGCAGGCAGGCAGGCAGGCAGGCCAGAACTTTTGCGTCGAAGGTCCCCAAGAAAGAACATCGTCTTTAAAATGTACTACGCCTACAAATGCAGTACACTCACTTCTGGCAGGTGCATGTCGTGCCTGTTTGTAGCTCCCCGAAGATAGCTCCATCGAAGCGTCACTTCGGGCACAAAGCCTCTGCGAACAACATGACATGACCGCAACCGAATGAGAGCCCTCTTTCTCAAACAGAATAATACAAGTTATGCCACACACTCCAAAAGACATTAGAGGCAAAAAGGAGGTGCCAGCTTTACCGTCGTGCCACCGGCAAACAGCAGCGCCATGTCGCGGCGCAGCATATCTAAAAAGCACCGAACACCAGCCACGCGATAGGCACGGCAAATATAAGCAGAGGTCTTCACTGTGGGGGCCACTCAAAGTGCGCTTCACGAGAGTGAACTCACTTTTGCAGAAAAGTAAACTGTCTATTTCAGAATCTAGCCCCGCCGCGGTGGTCTAGTGGCTAAGGTACTCGGCTGCTGACCCGCAGGGTGCGGGTTCGAATCCCGGCTGCGGCGGCTGCATTTCCGATGGAGGCGGAAATGTTGTAGGCCCGTGTGCTCAGATTTGGGTGCACGTTAAAGAACCCCAGGTGGTCTAAATTTCCGGAGCCCTCCACTACGGCGTCTCTCATAATCATAGAGTGGTTTTGGGACGTTAAACCCCACACATCAATCAATTATTTCAGAATCTACCTCCCGAAATGCATCAAATAAATAAACGAAGCTACTCAGGGTGCTGTGACCCTTCTTAAAGAGTATTCCTTTTTCAGGAGTGAAGCTCCTTAAGGCGTTGGTCTGTACATCCTCCGATGTTGTACGTATCCACCGGGCACATACCCGCTCTAGAGCGGGCATGTGCCACAGGGCATGCGAGGTGGGAGATGGCGGTACTTGGAGTGTTCCCTAGATGTACGCACGGATGGACAGGCAGACAGACAGACTAGGAGACGGACGGACGAATGGACGGACGCGCGGAGCGGGTATGTGGCAGAAGGAATACGAGATGGCGGTACTCGAAGCGTTCACTAGATGGGCGCTCTGACGGACGGACGCATGGACGGACTGACAGACAGACTAGCACACGGACAGACGGAGGGATGGACGCGGGGACTTGCGGACGAATGGATGCACTCACGGGCGGACAGACGAATGGACGGACTCACGGACGGACGCAAGCACAGACGGACGGACGCCTTGATGGACGTACGGATGGTCGCGCAGACGGACAGAAGCAAGAACGAACGGACGGGTGGAAGCATGGACGGGTTGACGGACGCTTCGCCACGCTCATCGTCGTTCACTCCGTGGATATGCTGCGATTTTTTTTTCTCTTAGAGTACATTAGTACTTCGATCTCTGTGAACGAGATCAGCTCGTGTTAGGTAGGAAAATGGCTAATGTATTGCCTTATGGTTAACGTTCAGAGCGTTGTTATCATCTGTACACAGTGCACACTGCTATACTACGAGAAGTGAGGGGCGGTATTGGAAATAAGTCATATCAGCACATTAACTGAGAAGAAACAAATAGGACGCTGAATTTGCTTTTCATTCGTTTAAGGTGAACAAAAAAAATTTTTTTTCGAAGGCTTGCATTCAATGACATCTTTACACCAACTGTATGGTTACCCAAGACGTAGTGCTCCTTTCTACTAACGCATGGTATTTGTGAGAAACAAAATACTGTTAGGTGTAACAAAGATCAGAAAAGCAGAGAAGAAAGCGTCATTAATCATGCAGTCGATGCCACATCGTGAAGCTTTCTGAAGTTAAGTTCTCATTCCACGTTCCATCAGTCAGTCAAGCGTAAGCGACATTATTGTTCACAGGCCAACCAATAAATAGCTTCTGCCGCCACTATTATTTATGTCAGTATGATGGCGGTACTTTCATTCATGGATGAGATAAGTACAATTAAATAGTTGTTGTCGTCCATGCTTTCGATGCCGCATTGCAAAACTTTTGCTTACTGCACATTCAACCTGTCCGACGATCCCAAAGCAATGTCACTTGCTCGCTAGCGTTGAAACCTATATATTGTAATATCACTAGTATATTTGCAAATGGAGTTTAGATCTTTTCGCATTTTGATGAGACGCGTGACCAGATTTTATAATTGAAAAAACGGTCTTTCACCGTTGCAACTATCATTGTAATTGCAGAACTAAGTTTTTAGCGGTGTTGCTACATAGCACAAACCGGTAATTACTTGATAACTTCTATGCCAATTTTTGTTGCTCTGAAATACATGTGAAGTATCGGTTTAATTAGCCTTACCAAGAGGGGAATGACACTATTGTTCTGTATATAAAACGCGGTGGAAGTAATAGTTTCTACAGTTCGGCGAAGCGGGAGCTTTGGTAAGTCTCTGTCAGGGAGATTATTCCAGCAGTGCTAGTGGTGCCCTGTTTCTACTTACTTTTCTCACCTTTGCTTCTTCCATACCTGAGCAATTCTAAGACACTTCATTAATACAGCACAAATTTGTTCCTATTCGTTTACAGTGTTGGTCTCGAAGGACTTTAGGACGTCTTTTTCGGTAGTATAACGTAGTGTTTGGCCCAAAGTTGATGATCACTGACCTAAAAAACCATGTGTGAAATGAAGTTGAACTGTCGCTTATTCCGTATTCTTTAGAAGATTTCCACCGTTTGAGTAAAGCTTTTGGAGCTTGCTAGCAGTGTTTGTACATCGCGTGATGCGATTACGAGCCACCCATATTCCCCAAGCCTTAAAGACGGCTTACTCACCAAATGGTAGACCATACAAGTCATTCTGAGAATGCAGCCTCCTCGACATGCATTCGCTATTAGTAAAAACATTTTTGGCAGGGCTTAAGCTGGCTTCCCGGAGAGTACCGCCACGCACTCATTCAAACTTCAAGAATGCCATTTGCGTAGCCAATTTATAAACGCTCAATGCAACCTTGTGTTGTAATGCTCCCTGAGTGAGGCCAAGAAGCGGCTCAGTCCGAACTTATTCGTCCTCCTAGGGAAAGCATCAACTCGACGCGTGTAAATGAAGAAAAAAAAAACATACCTGCAACACGCGCTAACACAAATAATCGCAGACTGAGTGCCAGAAAAAAAGTTGCTGCCCACACTAGAGCTTGCACAGAATGCTGCCCATTGTTGTCGTCTTATTCTTTAAGTGTGTCTGCGAATCACGACGTTATTTCTATTCAGTGCTGTTTTAAACTCTGGCTTACCTGCTTTCCGGAGTAGCAGAAGCTTTTCTTTTCTACGGGCAGCGCAAAAGTGGTGAAGCTTTAGGCCAGTAGCGGGAGAATGCTCCTGCATTTTTATCGATTTCGTGGCCACTTTTTTGCAGTGCAGCAGTTCAGCAAACAAGTCTCTGGTAGGCTCCTTAAAGACATCACTACAGGCGCTCCACCGTCAGACAAAATAGTACTTTCTTTATATCCATCAAAATTCATATATAAGAGTAAATGATCGTTTCCCGTTCTGTCTAACCCTGTGGCCGACAAACCCAAATTAACGAAGGGTCGGACTTTTGCGTCACGCACTTCGTTTAACAAATTTGACTGCTCGGAGACACCCGCGATTGTGCCGAAAGTCGCGTGTTTTGATGATAATGGTGGACGGCATGTAGAACTGAGCAATTATAATGACGTTTCTAGCACTGCTCGATAGTGACATCTCCTATTCGAAAAGACCCAGTTGCTGCAGGAGCTATTATTCAGATAGTAACTTCGACGGCCAACGTGCTGTGTTTCAGTGGGAATCGGCAAATTCGGCTGCAGATGGTCATACCTACACAACAGTTACTGCCGACACATGGCACCTGAAAGATACAACTTCCACTGATGCCTTTCTCCTGTGGGGCGGGTTGTGTTCCAATCGCAGATTTGTAGGCGTTGCTTTACGCCAAAGTCGAGCACTCGCACGTGGAGCCAATCGGCTACTCCGACTCTGTGATTGGAATTGAATGTGAACTTTAAACTCTCATACTTAGAAAATAGAAAAAAATATGGCAAATATTGACATCGAACTAAAGTATCAGATATTCGACAATAACGGTATGGGACAAAAAGCTAAATAAAGACTAATGCTATCCTGTATTTACTTCAACTAGCAATAGCGGAGTCGCAAATGAAGGCAATAATTTTTATACTTTGGACTAATCAATTCAAACGCATTACAATATTATAGGCTCAAGTTGAATAGGCAGTGCCTCTAATCAGAAGAAACACCTTAGAAAATATTTAGCTGATGCGAGGCCTACAGGAGTGGTTAGTTATGTGCTGCGTGACGCGATTGAAGAATCCCTTCAGGAATTCCCTGGATGAGGCGAGAATTTCGTTTTTAAACAGCACTGAGTCTTCACGTTCTTCGCTTCGAAACGTTAGCCGGTAACCATGGGTTGAAAAAATACCAAATGTCTTTGCGCCATACCTGCCAAAACACTAGCAAGAAATCATTTCACAAAGTAACGTGGCTCTTTAAACAATGTCTTTCATATTAGGGAAGGACATAGAGCAGCGTATTCTGTGTGCCATGGCGAGACATATAGCTACCTTTCTTGTGGCGTTTGCCGGCATAACTTATGGTGAGTCTAAACTATTCTATTCTTCCCTCAAGCAGGCTTTGGTCTTCTATTAAAGTGTACTGATCTTTCGTAAAAGAGCTCCTGGTATATGCTGTACATGTATGCCATGAAATATGTCAGTTGCAAAAAATTTGCACACCTTTGGAGGCAAGTGTGTTTATAGCATACCCAAAAAGCAAAAGCCCTAAAATATCAATAAAGCGAATCACTGTATGAATATACGCGCACATTTGAAAACAGTACATTGGCAAGTGAATGTTAGGTGGAACCGCATACATGCATTTGGCGAAATAGAAAAGGGATATGCAGAGAACACCCACGTTACCGCATGTGCAAGTGCACCCGCACAGTAACAAAACAGTAGTCATCTCGTTCCGAGATTGTCGGTTAGATTTTCGTCAAAAGCAATCGACAGTATAACGCCAGCTAAGGAAAATTCCTCCCCGATGCATGGTGGTCAGTGCAGTCTGGACGCATTGGACGAAACTAAACAAAAAGGTGGCAGATCACATGCGTTGTGGGAATTGATGTAATGCGAAACCAGTAGCAAGAAACAGGTCGTGCTGCACATAATATGTATATCGGAGTTTACATGTTAGCATCCGTAATTTATGTTTCTAACACACTCATGTTATGCAATAGCCATTTCTATGTATGTCAACCTATCAAAACGGCCGGGAGTGCACCATAAATATGCATGATATATAAATCACGTTTTAAATCAAGTGCCTGTCCTGATATTCGTCTTACCACCTGCCATTTATGTTCTTCATAAACAAGCCAGCAAACTGGACGCAAGCGCATTAGGAGCATGACATGTAAATGGCGTGTTACATGGCATGCATTTCATGATTTTTATGCCAACATCTGACGCACATATTCGCCACACAGCTACGTCATGCAATGCGACACTTGTTATATATCAAGCTAGCGAAGGAGCATTAGTGCACTATGAGCGTGATATTTAAATCATGTTGTACAAGACACAGCTTTCACGGTTTTCGCTTTATTTTCAGTTATGTTTCTCATACAGACATTTCCTGCAATTCCAAGTTCAGAGTATGTCAAGCTAGCGAGCTAGCCGGTAGAATTCCATGAGCGTGGCATGCAAGTCGTGTTGCTCACAACATGTCATATTTTGCATGTTACCAGCTACCGCTTATGTACGTCATACAGGAACGTCAAAATAAAAAAAAAACTTGGTGTATATCAAGCTAGCGAAATGGCCGCGAGTTTACCATGAGCGTGGCATGCCCATCTTGTTGCACATAACATGGCATGATTTCCCCACTACCACTTGCAATTTATCTTCGTCATGCAGTCACGTCACGTCCTTCCGAATTCGGCGCATGTCGAATGAGCGAATAGGCTTTCAACCAACCATGAGTGTGACGTGAAAGTCATGCTGCACATGTAATTATTTTTATAATACTATTCACTTATATTCTTTACACAGTCACGTCACGCTATAACAGATTTTATGTATATCCAGCTCGAGAAAGTACCGCGAGTGCGCCATAAGCGCGGCATGGGAGTCATGTTGCACATTCCATTTCATTATTTCCATATTACCACATGCGTCTGATGTTCGACATAGCCACGTCACGATACACCTCATTTCGTGTACATGAAGCTAGCGAAGCCACCGTAGGCATGTCATGCGCGCGGCATGCAAGTCTGTTGCACATGGCATGCTGTGATTTCCACATGACCACCTGTTATTTAGGGTCGTCACCAAGTCGAAGGTTAAAAGTGGTGCAAGAACACGAAACACGAACGAAGAATACACAAGCACCGGTGCCATCTTTTCTATTCTTCGTTTGTGTCTCGCGATTTGCGCTGGTTTTAGCCATCAACCTACGCCAACTTTCCCAACTATCGGTGTTACCCTCATAGAGTCATGCCATTCAATAGCAAATTTGGTCTATATCAAGCTAGTGAAGAGGCCACGAGCGTACTATGTAAATGACGTTGTGCATGATGGTCACGTCAGAATACTCATGTTATCACCTGTCCTTTATGTTCGTTAAGCAGGAATCTCTCGTCACATCTATATTCGAATATACAGATTTAAGGAAAGAGCTGAAGTAGCACAATGCCTCTGGCGTGTAAACTAAACCATATAAGACAAGTTAGTCATGATTTTCATGATATGACTATTCATTCATATTTGTCATGAGGTCAGGTGACGACATATCAATTTTGGTGTATATATCATTACCAATCTGGTATGGACCGCACAAAAATATAGATAGATAGATAGATAGATAGATAGATAGATAGATAGATAGATAGATAGATAGATAGATAGATAGATAGATAGATAGATAGATAGATAGATAGATAGATAGATAGATAGATAGATAGATAGATAGATAGATAGATAGATAGATAGATAGATAGATAGATAGATAGATAGATAGATAGATAGATAGATAGATAGATAGATAGATAGATAGATAGATAGATAGATAGATAGATAGATAGATAGATAGATAGATAGATAGATAGATAGATAGATAGATAGATAGATAGATAGATAGATAGATAGATAGATATCGTCTCAGCTAACTAAGATATGCTTCGTATTTACATGCGTCAGCACCCTCAACTCCGCCAGTCGGACGAGCGGGCCACGGATCGCGCGATGCAGTTTCGTTTTCTACTACGAGAAGTAAGACGCGGCAGCGCAATTTTCCAATGGCCTACGTTGAAATGACGCACGCGTCCCTCTGATGACGCACCAATCGCGCGCGAAAAGCTCTATACGTGACATAACAGTGGGGTTTCGTAAAGGCGTTCGTCAAAGAAAAAAAGGGCGTCTATCCAAGCTTGCCAAAATCACACCGGAAATAGCGCCATGCAGTTCCACCTTTATTTCTAATAATCTACTTAGCCCGTGACAATATTCATAAAGTACCAACAGTAAAAATGGCATGATACTCATATTTACGACATGCAATGCTAAAATCTTCACCATATAAGTATGAGAAGCTCACCACAATATAATCGGGGAACTAGGACACCGAATCATGCTGAAAGAACTATTTCTGATTTATATATAAACGTAAGTTATTTGAGTATATAGCTACAACTCGATAATGAAGTATCTGTTTTCAGTCCCCGTTTTTTTGTGTGTGTGGGGAACGCTATTCCAAGTCACGACATCAGTAACATGGTGGTATTTCCTTACATTTTCTTTGCTTTTGCAGGCGTCCTAGCTATTGCTTTTGCCGAAGAAGCAAGAGCAGGAGGCAGCCCTGTTTCAGGAAAAGCAGACAATGAAGAAGCTAGAATTGGCGGACGACAGCTTGATTCATTAGCTGGGCAAACTTTCGGCAGGGAATATGGCCGTCAGCTTGACTCATTAGCTGGACAAACCTTCGGAAGGGAAGATGCCCGTCAGCTTGACACACTAGCTGGACAAACCTTTGGCAGGGAATATGGCCGCCAGCTTGACTCTTTAGCTGGACAAACCTTCGGAAGGGAAGATGCCCGTCAGCTTGACACACTAGCTGGACAAACCTTTGGCAGGGAATATGGCCGCCAGCTTGACTCTTTAGCTGGACAAACCTTCGGAAGGGAAGATGCCCGTCAGCTTGACACACTAGCTGGACAAACCTTTGGCAGGGAATATGGCCGCCAGCTTGACTCTTTAGCTGGACAAACCTTCGGAAGGGAAGATGCCCGTCAGCTTGACACACTAGCTGGACAAACCTTTGGCAGAGAATATGGCCGCCAGCTTGACTCTTTAGCTGGACAAACCTTCGGAAGGGAAGATGCCCGTCAGCTTGACACACTAGCTGGACAAACCTTTGGCAGGGAATATGGCCGCCAGCTTGACTCTTTAGCTGGACAAACCTTCGGAAGGGAAGATGCCCGTCAGCTTGACACACTAGCTGGACAAACCTTTGGCAGGGAATATGGCCGCCAGCTTGACTCTTTAGCTGGACAAACCTTCGGAAGGGAAGATGCCCGTCAGCTTGACACACTAGCTGGACAAACCTTTGGCAGGGAATATGGCCGTCAGCTTGACTCATTAGCTGGACAAACCTTCGGAAGGGAAGATGCCCGTCAGCTTGACACACTAGCTGGACAAACCTTTGGCAGGGAATATGGCCGCCAGCTTGACTCTTTAGCTGGACAAACCTTCGGAAGGGAAGATGCCCGTCAGCTTGACACACTAGCTGGACAAACCTTTGGCAGGGAATATGGCCGCCAGCTTGACTCTTTAGCTGGACAAACCTTCGGAAGGGAAGGTGCCCGTCAGCTTGACACACTAGCTGGACAAACTTTCGGCAGGGAATATGGCCGTTAGCTTGACTAATTAGCTGGACAAACCTTCGGTAGAGAAGATGCTCGTCAGCTGTACTCTTTAGCTGGGCGAACCTTCGGCAGAAAAGATGACCTTCAGCATGACTCGTTGGCTGGACAAACGTTTGGTTGAATTGATGGCTTACAGTTAAATATGTTGAGTAGACGAACGTTTGGCTACATATCAAGTGGTAGACCAAACCAAATGTGTAATGTTGCGATGAATTCTTTTGCTTAACACTCACTGTTTTGGTATTACTTCTGAAATCATGAATAAAGAATATTTCTTCGATATGGCTATTTGTTCATGGCTATTGTTTCATTTGCAAAACTTATGCATGAATGATGGCCACTTCCTCATAACATTAAGCCGGAAATATTTTGCTCATATAAGTAATATCGGTAAAATACCGCCATCAGACTATGGAAGATTATCACGAAAACAACGGCATATCCTGTCGTTTACAGATCGCTCTCTAACTGACCTATTTCAAGTTTCCTTACGCAAAAGCTTAACGTAACTCTCCCTCGCCATTCTTAATCAGCAACTTCAGTTATTTTCACCTGCACTATTGCTTATTTCTTAGGCCGTGACGGTGTCACTGAAACAACGTGAGAAAACTGGTAATGGGTGACTCCACTGAAAATCGTCACGGGCCTGAAAATTGATCTTTAGATTTGATTATTTTATTTATATTTGGTGCACACGACCCTGAGTAGCCCGAGAGTGAACTTCGTTTTTCATTAACTGAATAATTTAGGATGAAATATATCGAACATATTTTGTACAGAGGGACTAGTCTCGAAAGTTGACCACTACATGTAAACGCAAGTACTAATGCGGCAAAGAAGATGTTTTTTTTTCTAATAAATATACATGAAATGAAGAGAGAAGCGGCATTTTTTCAAGCTTGTAGGCTGAGGCAAGCTGTTTGTGAAATATGTCTGAACAGGTAAAAATGTTGAAAAGTATTTATATTTCACATTTGTTTTCTCCTAAGATAAGACAGCTAGGTTTTCATAACTTGGTTACCTCTTACTGCGTGATGCTCACAATATCGCCAGTCAATACCATAGCTCTACCTCCAACACATATTTTTAAACGGCCTTAAAATTTCAAGTTTGTTGACGAAATGGGACTATTGAAAAATCACAATTTTAAAGGCCTCATCTATGGTTTTTCCAGAAATCCCACAAAAAGACCCTCGCAAATCACAGACAAAATAATAAAGAACATGCCGCATTACTTTCTTGCAGTGACCCTATTACAGGTAGAGTTTCTGGGGTTTTTAAGATGCACTTTGCTGATAAACACAAAAAATCAGGCTAAAAAATGTTGTCCCGAGCTTCTATGTCGTTTTAACGGAACCAATAGTTACCGAAGAAAATAGATATGGTAAACGGGGTTGGCTGTCTTAGGCATGCCCTTCAGAAATACATGAATTTGCTCTTTATTATAAGGCGTGAGACCCCCAACTTATTGGCACCTCGTTTACTAGCGTTCTCGCATGAGACAGCTAATACAGTCATCTGCTTTCAACGTTTTGATTAAGAAACACTTGTATGGGAATAGGCTGGCGAATGGATCTGCGAAAGCATGATGAATATTGAAATTTAGTTATGCTGTTGTCGCCTTCCTAGCCTGAATACGACTGAGCGTTTCCTTCCGCTAGGCACCTGCTGAACAATTTAATGCTCTTCCCTCTTAGAGGCAATGTATGATGTCATAGCGTTTCAACTTTGAAAAACGGTAAGGAATCTGTCATTTTTACGGAACATAGTTTAGTAAGCCTAGCAAAGCACTAAACCTCACTCTTCCACCGAAGAGTGAGATCAAAACTGGTAGCTCTTGGACTCCAAAATGGTCCACCACATGCCAGTACGTAATCTGGGAGGCCTGCGTTTGTGCCTGTCTTTGGCGCAAACATTAGCCTGTTTTGGGCACTGGATGGCGCTTGGTCTGCACTTGTAGTCAAAGTTTGGGCGCCAAAAATTATGGTGCGTGCCTCCTTGAGGCCCTACCCAGACTACCTACACAGAAAAGGCCCATTAAGCCGACATCTGAAATCGTGGTGTAGATGACCGTATGGCTGAAGGATGACAAAATGTTCTATGCAAATGCAGATTACATAGAAACTGCTCGTTATTTTAATATTGTATTAGTGCATATCGTTGCCACGTGTTGCTGGCCTATGTTTTTTATGCGTTTGGGTGCGTTTGCTTAACCTCAGCTATAACCCCGCGCGCCGCGGTGGTCTAGTGGATAAGGCACTCAGCTGCTGATACGCAGCTCACGGCATCGAATCCCGGCTGTGGCGGCTGCATTTTCAATGGAGGCAGAAAAAGAAAGTGCTTAACAGTGCAAACGACAGTAGGAGATAGCAGAGACGAGAACAAAGCGCTTAACTAACAACCAAAGTTTATTGCAAACCAACTGCAATATATAAGAAAACGTAATGTGTGCATAACCACGCAACAACAGCAAACTTGCACATACTTGTGCCAAACGGCCCACCTTATCAAGAGCCAGTCATATCAGTGAACCCTAGATAACTAATTTCATAGCCGTGAAGAAAAATCGAAAAAACGCTGACACAGGAAGCACCAAATTGTTGAATGTCGAAGGCTTCGCTAATCTCAGGCTCGCGCCGATTTTTATATCAACCTACAACCACACACTTGTCAAAAATTGGCTGACAGCCACACTTTTTACATTGGTCTGTCGAGTGACTAGGAATGGAGCCTTCTAGAGAGTAAACGTGCTTCCTCAAGCAATTATTAATGCGTCGGCCTGTTTCCTTCGATTCTAGCCACCCTAGCTTAACTAAACCGCGATTTCAGCCGATTGCCTCTGGGCACCCCACAGCGTGGCGGTGGCGGTGTGACTGTTTTGCGGCAGTAGGAACGAGCGGGGGAAAAAGCCGGAAGCACGTTATTGTGGTTTTTCCGGAAGTCACACTAGGCGCGCGCTTTCAAAGTCAGAGCGCGGAGAGCGCGCTCCGTTATTACGCACCGGAAGTCGCTTTTTAACCATTAAGTTTACAGGAGCGCACTCCGCCGGCTAGAGCACGCTCCAGCTGCTCAAGTTAACGCGCCTATTGGCTCATATTTTGGAAATACCACTTGATGCATTGAAAGCAATACTTCATACCATATAGAAAGAATAGTGGATGGGGTGTAAAAAATAGCGGATAATCTGTAAACTGTGGGTGTAGAATGGCCACCAGTTTCCAGCTTATCTGCTATCGAAAAAAAATACCGGTTGGTGGTGGCTACTTTATTTTCATGTTCAAAAGCGGACAATAGTGATGTAAAAGTAAAGAAGTTCATTAAACTCAAAAGAAAGTGGGGTGCTTCTTGGTAGCCGAGCAGTTATTGAGCACGACAGCCCAAAACTTTTAGATTTTGGGCGATTAGTGTACCTAGTAGGTCCATGAATGCTCCTTGCACGAGTCCTGAGATTACCATTTTCGAGTGCTCCTTATACAAAAGCTGTGTTGGCACACTTTTTTTTCGTTGTCTCGTCCTGCCCTACACTCTGTATTATTTCCGGCAGGTGTCGGCAAAACGAGGCATCTGCGACAATTGTTTCGGGATTTATATAGATTTGCCCCAGTGGGAGCAATGCACTATCTGAGTAAAATGAAAATCGAACAGTCCTAGCCTTCGAGACGATATTGTACGCGTATTCAGTTATTACAATATACAGGCGCTCGCATCCTGTTCGGCAGCTCTGCGCATATATGCGTGCCAGCCGAAGGTGATAAAAGGACAGCTCGCTCTATACCATTGCGATGGCTGGCCGCTGTTCAGGTTTCATTTGACGCAGCTAGTCCATACCACAGGCCTAGTGATCGCAAGAAAGAACTTACTGCTCTGTGCTTTTGCGTTAGCCAATTAAGTTCAAAAAGCCGTTTTTGATATTTTCGAATTTTTTGCCCCACATTTCCCCCGACCTTACTTCATAAGGTTTTGAAGCTTGCTTAGTTCGTTAACGAATCTGTCGATTAGGTCTGGCGGAGAATAAAAAAGACAGCATATCCACGGGCTGAATGATGGGGAGTGAGGCAAAGCTGGGTCCGCACGCAGCTGCCGTGCCACTTCGACCTCCCCTTCTCGTACTGCAGGGTCTTCGCTGCGACGCCGCGAAGCTCCACGGTACGCGTCTGCCTCGCGCCACCGCACGTCGGGGTCTCTCCTTCGACCACAAGCCGCCGCCACCCTGCGCGCACGCCGCTCAGAAGCTTTGTTCATCCTCCGCCACCGAGCACTGGAAGCGCGCGCATCAAAATGGCGCTTTTATTGTACTATAGAGCGCTCCCTGGCTTATGGCACCGCCGAAGAACACGTGAGCGTAGTCGCGTGATCGCCTCTCTCTCCTTCCGTATGTGTGACGTCAATGCTTCTTGTATACAAGTAAGCCCTCTTCTGTCGTACCATTTGCATTTTTTAGCGTACACTACAAGTACTGCCCTCTATGACCGGTTCAAGAATTATCGAGGGGCGGTTACACACAACGGGGACGCACAAGCCACACCATAGGGAGCTTCGCCCATAAAAATATATATGCATCTCCACGAAGGAAGTAGTGGCGACTTGTCAAAACATCGTCTTAAGATATGTGATGTCTACGTTGATGGCACGCTCCAGAATAAACAATCTGTACTTGTAGGTGAACGTATATTGTTCTGTCCCAATTACAATTTATTGGGTGGATTAAGTCTTTTTTTTTTTGTGTCGGACATATGCTGCCCGAGCGTTGCCCCGTGTAATGTGTATGGGGTGAGAAAGTGACATGATGAGTCGAGAAAAAGCTCGGTAAAAAAGTTCACAATTTCAACGTTAAAGTCACCGCTCTTTGTGAGTGTTTCGTGTCACTGTCTAAGAATTGTCATTGTTTTTCGTCTATAGTAAACTATTTTTATTCAGGCATACTTATTCGTATTGCCTATGGCAAGGGTTTCTTCGACGACAAAGCTAGGTTCTTGAATCCACAATATATATCTTGAATTCGCCGACTAGTATGAAGTACTTGCACTTATAAAGTTTTATATGACCCAGTATTGTGTGTTATTTCATGCTTTTGGAAATGGCACAAGTGGTTTTTTCACAACCATGTAGGAAGCATAGCCTGCTACTGTAAGGGACAAGTCACTGCAATTCTCTCAGCACAATTTTTTCGCCCTTTGCACTCATGTTCCCACTGATGGCCAATTACACACGAGTACTCAATCACGCCCCTACTCACGACTATTTATACTGTTGTTCACTCACTCACGTTCATACTGTAAGACAGTA